GATCCCCAAAATTGTCACTGGAAGTCCGGGCGTTGTCATTGTCGGCAGTGAAGTCTTTGGTGTCGACTCTAAACCTTACCGTGTGCGACAAACCAGTTCGCATGCACTGTCCTGCTGTTCTGTCGTCTCTCCAATGATAGTGTTGTATAATGCTGTGCGCAAGGGAATCACCGTCCATGGGGATAGCGAGGATGACCACCAAAGCCCTGGAATTACTGTACAGAGCATGTGTTGCCCATGCAGCATGATACCCCTTCGGCCTGCCTTTCATGCGCCAACAGAAAGGTAACACCAGTTCACTTGGAACAAAACATGCTGTCAGATCAGAAAAGCAGTATAGTCTGCCTGCCTACCTGCTGGGGCTTTACTTGTAGACCATTTGCCAACCAGGGTAAACGGCTTTATTCAGGTTGCAATTCGTCTTTCTAGGATACGGTTAGAATCCTTCCAAATGCAAGTACGCTTCTCTGTGCGAAGCCGTTGGCATAGTGTGGGATTTCAGGTTTGGTTTACACCGTCCTTTTCTTTTTCTTCTTCTTCTTCTTCTTCTTCCTCTTCCTCTTCATCCTCCTCTTCTTCTTCTTCTTCTTCTTCTTCTTCTTCTTCTTCTTCTTCTTCTTCTTCTTCTTCTTCTTCTTCTTCTTCTTCTTCTTCTTCTTCTTCTTCTTCTTCTTCTTCTTCTTCCTCTTCTTTCTTCTTCTGCTCTGCTGCTGCTGCTGCTCCTCCTCCTCCTTCGCGATTGGTTTCGTATGCTCAGATCAGACATCAAGTGGGTTGCCTCTATGAACTCGCATGTCGGTAACAGGTTTCATGGTTCCCCATAGCTTGGTCTGCACACCTTGCTCTTGAGGCCAGGTGTACACACCGTCCAACATTCGGTGTTCGCTACCTTGTAAGTTAGATGATATAATCTATCAGTCTGCACTATCTCACTGATCCCGCTATAGCTCAGCCACATTCGCCTTATCGAAAATAGAGGGATGCCTCGATTGGCAACAGCAGTTAGACTAGCAACTGCTCGTTACCCAGCACACACTCAAGTCCCTAGCAGAAACCTCTCTTGATCTGACCGTTATTAAGCGATTTTGCACGTAGCTAAACTTAGTAAGAGTAAATACTTCCCCAGAAATACAGCCGAACGTTTCGACCAGAGTTCCTATCAGCAGACAATACAACAAACTAATGAAACAACCGACATGATCAACAACACAGAACCATAATAAATTGGAGACAGTAAGGATAAGAGGAAGTATTACGAATCCAAATAAATATATTATTAGGAATTGGTTAATTACAAATGGGTTGAAGATGTCGAAGCCAGCCTCTACTGTTACATCAAGATGTTTGCAAGTGGGACATAAATGATACGTGTAATAATGTAGATTCGTGAAAATAGGATGCCCTTGACGGCGCTGCCTTGAAGGAAGTCGTGACTGCAGATAGGTTGAAAGCTGAGCGTCTTAAAACCACGAGTTCAAAAAATAAAGATGATTAAAAAAAATAAAGATGATTGGCGGTGTAGTTTTGAACAACAACCTGTAATTGCGCGTGCAGATCACATGTGCCCAGCGGTCAATGTAATCAGCCAACGGGGCACAGAAAGCCAAGGTCTGTGTCAAGTTAACCGTCCATAAACCCGGTCAGCAAATCGCAGAGAGCAGGCTCCTCGTCTGTCGTGGATTTTGTCTGTAGTAGTATTTGTTTTATACCTGAAGCATCAACGTTAATGGGATGATCCTCAATCAAGTTGAATCGTTGAAGCCAGTGGTCTCCAACCTCGGGACCTAAAGCAGTTTTGAAACTGAGTGCATTCGTACTTGTAATAATCAGGATTTTCAGCTTCTATAGTCAGGAAAACAAAACCGCGCTGTCAGCTTGATGAGGAGAGTGGTCTAAGTTGTGTCTGGTCCAACATCAGATCAGCACTAGTAGACAAGACAATCAGTGTAAACCAAAACAGTATCAAATATTGCATTGATGTCTGGATACTAAATTACTAGTTGTTGGTGATTTTGAATGTTTTATCTGACACTTTGATTTATATGCGCGTTTTTTTTCATTCAAGTTCTTGTTAAAGTACGTGGCATTCACTTTTTAATCACACCTTTTTTATGTTGGTGTTTTACGAATATCACTTTTTGTATGCAGACTGTTGGTTCCTTGTTTCTTAGGCAGATGCACTCTGACCTTGAAGGAAGATCCCAGTTAGTCGACCCTTATGACGTCATTGAGGAGATATTGGGTCTGTTGTATTTCCTCCCCCCCCATGCCCCTCCCCCTCAACGGCCCCGGAACCCACGCGGGAAACAGCATGGACTGTAGAATCATATATATACCCGAAGAGGCGGCATCTGTTGCATGGGTATTGCGAACGCATTTCGTAATTCCGTGGTGCTGGGTTCGATACCAACAGCGGGCCGTTTGACAGATCGCCCAGTGTTAGTTTCAAAGGACACACAGTTGACTTTATACTGGGAGAGAGGAGCGGGTGGCCGATCGGTTAATAACTTAGGATTCTCGTGCGGGAGATCAGGGTTCGAATCCTCAGTATGGTTATGTTTTTTGTTTTGTTTTCCGTCGGAGATTAAAATTAAAAAAAGGAAAAAATGTGGACTTCGTGGCAGAGCTTCAGGAATAAGCAACTTCCGCAGATCTGATCTAATTGGGATCACTGTTCTACAATATTTTCATCACGCAATCTGTACCCAAACATGTCACCGTGCTCCACCCCCACCCCCTCGCCCATTTTTGTGTTCTATAAAACGTGGCTAGAGCATGTTCTAAAAGTGCAGAGAAACATTAATCTGATGATCTAATCCTACCCCTCATCACTGCCCCTTCTCAAAGTAAAGAAACTCTAAGCTGTGCTGCAAGAGTACAAGCTGTCGGCTTAATTCGAAGTTATTTATAGGTGTCAGAAGTGCGACCTCTCGTGTCCTGTAATGAGGAGGGTCGTTGGCTTAATTTGTAGTTATTTGAGGATGTCGTGATGTATACTTTGTTGTTTTGTAGATCAAAGATGTTTAAAACTGTTTAAAATCTGTTTGGCAACGAATTCGGGCTAAAGAGCTTATAGGGGGAGAGTAATAGCCTGGGAAGAGAAAATGCAACATGGAAAATAATGTTTGTGCACGGCAGACCAGACTTTTTTTTTTTTTTTAAGCTTGGGTTGGCAGCGTTTCTAGATGGAAAGCTCAGACATACAGGCAAACAGAGCGCTGCTCTTGTGACCCATCAGCTTCTGCAGCATGCTTTGCTCAAAACGTATTGGCGTTGTCTTTCCATTGGAAAGGGCAACAGTCTCTGCAGCAGGTATGTGAAACTAAGGGTTCGCCACTTTAGTTCACCGTTGTGTTGTCGTGAGGGCTACACGCGACAACTAATGGATGTATCCTGGGCGCGGGCCGCAGGTGTGCTTGCCAAGGGCCGCATACGGTCTGTGTCAAACATTCCTGCTCGATAGTCCTGCCTTTACTCTGTGCTATGGCGTTGTACTCGCTGTTGCCATGGGTTGTTTTTCTGATGCCTCACTGTGGCACAGTTTAACACTGCCCATAGGTAAGATGAAACGGTGCCCCCAACAACAACAACAACAAGTATTTTAACTCATCCAGTATTAAGCAACGAGCCATTTGTTTGTTGCTTTCTACTTATGTTTTACATTCACTCAGCTCTTGATGTCATATCCAAATCTTGCACTAACCCAGTCGGTTGCAGTTGCATCTTAAAGTAAAGAGGTGCCTCGGAATTCGAACATAATAATTCTTTCGAAGACTGCGTTCGAATTCCAAATCTTTCGAGATCCAATGAACATTTTCCAATTGAAAATAATGGCAACCAAATTAATCCATTCCTGTGTCCAACAAACTCTCTCTCTCTCTCTCTCTCTCTCTCTCTCTCTCTCTCTCTCTCTCTCTCTCTCTCTCTCTCTCTCTCTCTCTCTCTCTCTCTCTCTCTCTCTCTCTCTCTCTCTCACACACACATATACACAATCCTGTTAATACAGTACACTGTAAATATAGTAACACATATTTATCTTATTAAAATAAAACATTTAAAAACAAAGAAATTAAAATGTTGCATTTATTGTACCCTGATTTAAAATTTAAAAAAAAATGATAACACAGAAGTAGGTGGATGATTATGGTGCTTATTGTTTGGAAGAGGAGTCACTTTCCATGAAAACATTAGGAATCCTTTCTGATGTTTCATATAGTAGCCTTTCACATCTTGTAGAGGGTTTGGTTGAAAAGGGGGGGGGAGGGGGGTAGTAACTACTTTTTGTTGGCAGCCAGTGTTCCAAAGTTGTCGGTGTTGGTGGCCATTTTTTTTTTTTTTAATAGTGTTTATAGAATGTTCTACAATAAGTCGAGAAGGTCAGCTTTCTGGCACCTAGTTTTTTCGCAAATGGCTCAGTCTTTCTACGCCGAGACTGTCGCATGAAGTATGAATACTGTATCTCTGTCGATGGTCCCCAGGGATCTCGTAAACCGAACTCATGAACCGAACGATGCCGCCATACAACGAACCCGTGAGTGACTTAACAACCCCGCAACGGAGACTTCTTGACACCTAAACCGTGGTAACATGGAATACCACACAAGACTATAACAATGTTAACAATAACAATAAAATAACTATAACAAGATATAACAATGTTCTTTCTGATTTCTTTGTGCTTCTAATTTAACGATGTTTCCAATTTCACGCGGTTTCTAATTCCACGTGGTTTCTAATTTCACGTGGTTTCGAACATCACATCACATCACATCACATCACATGAACCATGGCTACATCCAATGCCACATAAGACCAGCAGATCAATGGAAATGAACGATATAGAAATAGCGGTGTGATTTCGAATTTCAAATGGTTTCTAATTTCATGTAATTTTTAAGTTCACATGGTTTCTCATTTCCCGTGATCTTTAATTGCACATGGTTTTTAACTGTGTGGGTTTTTCTCTCATTGTAGGCGAACACCACCTGAGCCATGATAACATGGAGTACCACCTACAGCTGGAGCTGTGGCGAGGCAATGTGGCCGGTGCCTTGCAGATCGCCCGGCAGAGAAATGAGCTGTCTGACTGGATAGTTTCCATGGCACCTCTCGGTAGGTCAAAGTGTAACGTATGTCTCTCTGTCTGTCTGTCTGTCTGACTGGATAGTTTCCATGGCACCCCTCGGTAGGTGGAAGTTTAACGTATGTCTCTGTGTCTGTCTGTCTGACTGGATAGTTTCCATGGCACCTCTCGGTAGGTCAAAGTGTAACGTATATCTCTGTGTCTGTCTGACTAGATAGTTTCCATGGCACCTCTCGGTAGGTGGAAGTGTAACGTATGTCTCTGTGTCTGTCTGTCTGACTGGATAGTTTCCATGGCACCTCTCGGTAGGTCAAAGTGTAACGTATATCTCTGTGTCTGTCTGTCTGTCCGTCCTCTGTCTGACTGGATAGTTTCCATGGCACCTCTCGGTAGGTCAAAGTGTAACGTATGTATGTCTGTCTGTCTGTCTGTCTGTCTGTCTGTCTGTCTGTCTGTCTGTCTGTCTGTCTGTCTGTCTGTCTGTCTGTCTGTCTGTCTGTCTGTCTGTCAGTTTCAATAGCACATCTCGGTAGGTGGAAGTGTAACGTATGTCTCTCTGTCTGTCTTTTTGTCTGTCCGTCCTCTGTCTGACTGGATAGTTTCCATGGCACCTCTCGGTAGGTCAAAGTGTAACGTATGTCTCTCTGTCTGTCTGTCTGTCCGTCCTCTGTCTGACTGGATAGTTTCCATGGCACCTCTTGGTAGGTCAATGTGTAACGTATTTCTCTGTGTCTGTCTGTCTGTCCGTCCTCTGTCTGACTGGATAGTTTCCATGGCACCTCTCGGTAGGTCAAAGTGTAACATATTTCTATGTGTCTGTCTGTCTGTCTGTCCTCTGTCAGTTTCAATAGCATTTCTCGGTAGGTGGAAGTGTAACGTATGTCACTCTGTCTGTCTGTCTATCTGTCTGTCTGTCCGTCTGTCCGTCCTCTGTCTGACTGGATAGTTTCCATGGCACCTCTAGGTAGGTCGAAGTGTAACGCATGTCTCTCTGTCTGTCCGTCCGTCCGCCCTCTGTCTAACTGGATAGTTTCCATGGCACCTCTCGGTAGGTCAAAGTGTAACGTATTTCTCTGTGTCTGTCTCTCTGTGTCTGTCTGTCCTCTGTCAGTTTCAATAGCACATCTCGGTAGGTGGAAGTGTAACGTATGTCTCTCTGTCTTTTTGTCTGTCCGTCCTCTGTTTGACTGGATAGTTTCAATAGCACCTCTCGGTAGGTGGAAGTGTAACGTATATCTATGTGTCTGTCTGTCTGTCCTCTGTCAGTTTCAATAGCACCTCTCGGTAGGTGGAAGTGTAACGTATGTCCCTGTGTCTGTCTGTCCGTCCTCTGTCTGACTGGATAGTTTCCATAGCACCTCTCGGTAGGTGGAAGTGTAACGTATATCTATGTGTCTGTCTGTCTGTCCTCTGTCAGTTTCAATAGCACCTCTCGGTAGGTGGAAGTATAACGTATGTCCCTGTGTCTGTCCGTCCTCGTTCATTTTCCATGACAGCTCTCGGTAGGTGAAAGTGTAACGTCTTTGTGTCTCTGTGTCTGTCTGTCCGTCCTCTGTTTGACTGGATAGTTTCCATGGCACATCTCGGTAGGCGGAAGTGTAACGTGTGTCTTTGTGTCTGTCTGTCTGTCTGTCCGTTCTCGATCAGACTGGATAGTTTCCATGGCACCTCTCGGTGTGTGGAAGTATAACGTATGTCTTTTTTTTTTCATGTCTGTCTCTGTATGTTTGTCTGTCAGTTTTCATGTAACATCTGACTAGATAGTTTCTCTGGCACCTGGAGGTAAATAGAAATGTTATCTGTGTCTGTCTATCTGTGTGACTGGATGTTTTCCTTGGCACCTTTGGGTAGGCATAAAAATAACGTCTGATGTCTCTGCCTTTCTTTGTGTCTATTTGTGGTCAATGTGTGTCTGACTTGATAGTTTATCTGGCACCATTCGGTAGGTGAAGATAAAATGTCTGTCTGTTAGGACAGTGGCACCTGTCTGTCAGTTTCCATGGCACTTGCACCTCTCGGTAGATAGACAGGTAACAGCTCTCTTTCTTACGTTTTGTGTAGGTGTGACTTGTTTTGTGTGTGTGTGTCTGTGTCTGTCTGTCCTGATTCTTTCCATAGCACCTCTGCGGAGGTACTCATGTAATGTCTGTCTTTCTTCGCATGTCTGCATTTTCTGTCTGCCTTTTTGTCTAACTACATAGAAGTAACGTTTGTCTTTGTGTGTGTGTGAGTACATGCGTGCACGCGAACGTATGTGTGTGTGTGTTTTTTTTGTGTGTGTGTTTCTGTTTCTTTATGTGTTTATATGTCTGTGAGTTTGTGTGTGTGTCTGGCAATATAATTTCTCTGGTGCTTCTTGATAGGTAGAAATGTAACGTCTCTCTCTCTCTCTCTCTCTCTCTCTCTCTCTCTCTCTCTCTCTCTCTCTCTCTCTCTCTCTCTCTCTCTCTCTCTCTCAGTGTTTGCGTGTGTTTGTCTGGTTGTGCCTGTGTCTGACTAGATAGTTTCTAGGGCACCTCTCGGTAGGCAAAAATGAACGTCTATGTTTTTGTCTACTGGATGATTTCCGTTGCACCTGCCTGTAAGTAGAAAGAAAACAAGAGGCTGCGGAAATAGCGATACATTAGAGGGCTTAGCCAGCTGTCTGTTTATATCAGCTTAGTAATTAAGACGCAAACAGGAAAACAACAACAGCAGCAGTGGATGTTTGACCCAGTGCTCTCGTCCCCCGTCCCAACTCGGCCTTCCCTGGCGTCTCCCCGGGCTAGGGACATCTGACTTTTGGGGAGACCTCATTAAGGGCCATCAGCGGAACCTTTCCGCTAATGAAATCATCTGTGTTTACGGCCTGTGCTGCAGGCATGTTTGTTGCTCTGTGTTTCCCCAGGCTTATTGGACTGGATGGTTTTCTGGTCGTTTCCACCAGTTATCGTTGCGTCTTTGTTATATCATTCTGACCACCTTGTCGTCATCATCACAATCGCAGTCACATTTTTCTTTCTTTCTTTCTTTCTTTCTTTCTTTCTTTCTTTCTTTCTTTCTTTCTTTCTTTCTTTCTTTCTTTCTTTCTTTCTTTCTTTCTTTCTTTCTTTCTTTCTTTCTTTCTTTCTTTCTTTCTTTCTTTCTTTCTTTCTTTCTTTCTTTCTTTCTTTCTTTCTCTCTCTCTTTCTTTCTTTCTTTCTTTCCTTCTTTTTTTCTTTCTTTCTTTCTTTCTTTCTTTCTTTCTTTCTTTCTTTCTTTCTTTCTTTCTTTCTTTCTTTCTTTCTTTCTTTCTTTCTTTCTTTCTTTCTTCTTCTTCTTCTTCTTCTTCTTCTTCTTCTTCTTCTTCTTCTTCTTCTTCTTCTTCTTCTTCTTCTTCTTCTCCTGCTGCTGCTGCTTCTTCTGCTGCTTTTTCAGCTTCTTCTTCTTCTTCTCTTGCTGCTTCTTCTTCTGCTGCTTTTTCAGCTTCTTCTTCTCCCTCTCCTGACCCTCTCCCCCCTCCCCAGCGAAACACTGGTCCCCTTTAACTAACGCACTTTGAGTGGTCCTATCCTTTGTTGTCGCATATAGCTCACCTTATGTCATCACCGTGTGTTTAAGTACACTGCTTCCCTTCTCCATATGTATGCTTCAGCTTGTGTCTGCCTGTTCTGGTGCTGCCACTACATTTTATGCGCTTGCCTTGCTATGACTTAACCTAGTTTTGCGCCCTTCTAAATTAGTTTATGTATGTCTTCCATTTGTCTCGAACTCCTAACATAGAGATACACCGTTGACATTGTTGGGGCATTTTAGGACTTCTCCCTTGGCCAACAAAAAGACGCGGGAAGATCTTTGAACGGAATATATTCTAGATCTAGTTTATCGGAAATCCCATGTTGTCTCCCTGTGAAATCTAATCCAGACATTTTCACACGTGAAGTTGATAGTCGGGTCATTGATGTTGCTTTTTGGTGTACGACAAGACCTCATCATACACCGCATACTCGTCCTCCCTCCCCTCCCATTTTATTCCCCTGCCTCTTGCTCTTCTCTTTGGACGTCGTCATCCTCCTTTTCTCCCTTCTGCTATCGTGTCACCATCCTCCCCCTCCTCTTTCATCGTCGTCCTGTTCTTTCTCTTTTGTCATAGTCATCCTCCCTTTCTCTACCTCTTTCTCGTCATCCTCCTCCTCCTCGAGGTCTTTTATGAGTTTTTTTTCTGCCAATTTTGGGAGACTGAACTGGGTTGCTGCCCCAGCAGGCGAGCACACTGACTGGTTTGCCAGCGTAATCCATTATGTTAACTCTTGTTGTCTCAAGCATGAATTACTTTAACCCCGTTTTATCCCCAGGAGTTTAGCTAGAAAGAGATGTTTACTTTAACCTGAAAGACATGATGGTACAGAAGTAAAAAGTAAAGAAACTGTTCGCACGCTTCCAGGTGGATTGCGTGTATAGGGCTAGATCTATATTATATAGACCAATCAGCTCTTGCTGGGTAATGGGATTAGTTTTCCCTCCGGCCCACTTTACTTAAAGTTATTTCAAGAGAAATGTCTCAAACAGCTCAAGATGCCTATTTGTCCATCAGTATACCACCAGAGTCGGCTCTGTGGCTTAGTCGATGTGAACGCTTCGTAATGTCGGGATGCCGGGCTCGATCCCAGCTGCGGGCCATGCATCTTGCGTTGGTTTCGGCAGTGGAATCAGGGGGCCGACCGTCCAGGGAGCAGTGGCAAACTACTGGACGTAAATTTGCCTAGAGAAACCACACAACGCCAGGGGCTGCTGAGGTTGGTTCTGCAACGTCCTGTAAAGGATACGCAACTAACCTATACCACCAGACGTTTTCTTCAGTTATCGCTGGTCATGCATTTCATCCACCATGAGCCATAAACTATTATATCAGCTCAAGGACTCATATAGAGGCCGCAAGAAGTTGGGGAAGACCGAGAAGAATATGGACTGAAGGAGTCACTGACACCTTGAGACTGCATAACATCACGGAATATCAAGCGACTGAGCTGGGACAGGCTCGGCTTCCTATCGTCTGATGAACTGCGATGCCTAGCGGCATAAGTAGATATTAACAGAAGAAGACGAAGAACTCGTTTGTTTTCCCAAAACTTATTTGTCAAAGCTACTCAATGACTCCGTCTCTCTCTCTCTCTCTCTCTCTCTCTCTCTCTCTCTCTCTCTCTCTCTCTCTCTCTCTCTCTCTCTGCCTCTTTCTGCAGCTGTCTATCTTTTTATGTCTCTCTCTCTGTGCCTCTCTGTATCTCTGCATCTCTCTGTGTCCACGTGTTGTTTGGCAGCTCTTCCGAGAAAGGACAGTCTCTTGCGAGATCTGTTCTAGGGTCTGTTAAAACGTCATCATTGAGTGTCCTCTGTTGCAGCGTCCCACGACCTCTGGGAAGCTGTGAGCGCCGAATACGCTGAGCAGCTGGAGGACGATGGTCAGTATCACAAGGCGGTCACCTACCTACTGGCTGCCAACAAGATCCACCAGGCCATCGACTTGTTCCGGAGACACAAATTGTTTAAGTAAGTCATGTCTGCTGGTCACTCTTGTCTTCTTTAACTCTGTCTGTCTGTCAGTCATTCTCTTTATCTGTCTGTCTGTCAGTCATTGTCTTTATCATATCTGTATCAGCCAGTCTGCCTGTCAGTCATTCTGTCTGTCTTCATATCAGCCAGTCATTCTGCATGTCTTCTTATCTGTCAGTCAGTCATTCTGTCTGTATCCCATTAGCCAGTATGCCTGTCAGTCATTCTGTATTTCTTTATATGGGTTAGTCCGAATATCAGTCATTAACTCTGTCTTCATATCAGCCAGTCTGCCTGTCAGTTATTCTGTCTGTCACGCTATTAGTCTTATTTTCATTGTCACTGCCAGTGGCTTTTAGATATATATAGAGAAAACGTGCACATGTGTGCACACGTGCACACATACAAGTGTGGTGGCTAGATACCTGTGTGCAGATGTGAAGGTCCGCATGAAGCCAAATTGTTTTCCAGATTAGTTTGGCACCATGGTTAACCCAGCCTTAAATGGGTGCGAGGTAAAATCCTGGGAAATAAAGGTGGCCAGCATGAAGTTGACCACATCACCCATTGATGGTCGATTGGTGTGTAAAAATATGCGACTAGCCTCATACGCCTGATGTGCCACTAGCGTGCAAAGGCAGCTTTAATTGTTACTTTTAGAAACTCATAAAGAGAGGGCAAATATATATTTATACACACATAAGGTTGGGGAGGGGGGATATATTTATACTCACACATAGAAATAGGGGGAGGGGAATATATTTATGCACACGCATAAAAAGAGGGGGAAATTTTTTTATACAGAGAGGGGGTGGGGTATATATTTATACACACGCATATAGAGAGAGAGAGAGGAACATATATTTCTACACACACATAGAGAGAGCAGAGGAAAATATATTTATACGGAGAGAGAGAGGGGAAACAATATATTTATGCACACACACACACACACAGAGAGAGAGAGAGAGAGAGAGAGAGAGAGAGGTGAATATATTTATACAGAGAGAGAGAGGAAAAATATATTTATACAGAGAGAGAGAGAGGTGAATATATTATATTTATACAGAGAAAGAGAGAGGACTAATATATTTATATACACACACACACAGAGAGAGAGAGAGAGAGAAAGAGAGAGGTGAATATATTCATACAGACTCTTGGGGGTTGGGGGAGCTGGGACAGGGTATGAGAGATAGAATTGAATCCACAGAAGTGTACAACTGTTGATAATGTCGTGCTGTTTTTGGAGAATACTTAGTAGTCTTGGTTTTAACCTGGGTCAGACGTCAGATGTCTGCTTTGATTTTATTACCATTACATTTTATTTTTGTTCTGTTGTTTGTTCCCAAACGGTTGTTGCTTCAGCTGTGTTTGATCTCATAGTTTGTGTACTTTAGGGCAGCAGTCTCAGAGTTAAAATACAGTAAAACTTTGCTAACTCAAACTTGATTAATAAGGCACTCAGTTAACCTGAAAACATTTTGGTCACAGTAGGGATCTGTTGATTTGAGTGGCCTCTTTGTATGAATTTTGTTAGCACACACTTGATTTTGTCAGTCCCTTTGAATTCATGTTGATGAGGTTACACAGTAATACATTTACAAGACATATAATGTGTTGAGGTAATAGCTGGAGTAGAATGGATTAAAAAACATAAATGGGATATTAGACATTAACCCTTTCATCATAAGACCCCCGCCCCTCTTTCCCAATAGCTTTTTCAAAGCTAGGATGACTTAACATTTTTCCGTAAGCCTTGGTAGCAGAGGTGCAGAGGTTGCAGAGCCACAGCAAGGGTAACCCAATACATATTTGTTACTGCCTTTATATATCTGTTTATATTTAGAAAACAAAAATAGCACGTGTAGAAAAATAAATTTAAAACTTTATTAGTTACCTCTTTAACAAAAGTATTTACCAAAATTTTGTATCTGGCATTCCAAATAACACGTTTTTGTTAGTGTTGCCAGCGTGAAAGGGTTAAAGAAACAGATATATGAGGATATGTTGCTGGCTCCATTCCCTCTTCCGAGACAATAGTTTTATATTGTGCTGTGAGGAGACATTGAAATAATCCCAGCCCATGGTAATGGTGAGTGTAACTAGCTAGACACCCATCAGCTTTAAGAAGAGCCTTTCACAGTTAAAGCATGGGATTTCAGGACCGTTGTTGCCATGTATTTAGTGTGGTTCTTCTCAGATGCTGACCTCTCAGCTGTTCTGCAGTAGAGAAAGCAATAAACACTTAGCAAGCCCTTTGGTACTGACAGGAAGAGTTGGGGAATGAGCATATACTGAGTGTTTTAAAATTGTTATTGTGCTGGTGAAGTAAAAGTAAAGAACCCTTTTCATCGGGCATATGATGCTAGACTCATATTTGTATAGAACAGGTGGCACTCAGTGGGTGATGTGGTCGCAACAAACTGGCTGCCTCCACTTCCTAGGACTTTACCTCATACCCATTTGAGGTAGGGTTGATGTGGAAGCCAAGGCCAGCTCTACAAAATTAAAGAAAAATAATATGTGACAGTGTGTATTCAAGCCCAAGAGCTTCAGGGCAGCAGGCAAGCAGTTAACTACTCTGTGGTGCATTCTCTGATAACATAAAGCTAAGTAATGTAGGTTACAGACTCTTCTTATGTGCTAGCTCCCCCTTTTCTTTCACTGTAGAATTTAGACAGACAAATAGTGAACTGGAAGGAGGAGGGCTAGATCTATGTTTCTGTCATCTTTGAAACAAAACATTTAATATTTTAATTACCTTTTCATCTCACTAATAAATTATTTTTTATCAAATTGTATCACACTGTTTTTGGCTAATAGAAACAGTGTTATTTTATTACCTTACCATCTCACTAACAAGTAATGTCTCTTACGTTTATTACTTTGACTATCTCACTAACAAGTAATGTCTTTTATTTTATTAGGTTACCAACCGCTTAACAAGTAATGCCTCTTTGTTTATTAGCTCACCATCTCCCTAACAAGGACTGACACTATTTTATTACCTTACCATCTCATTAACAAAGTAATGTCTCTTACGTTTATTAGCTCACCATCTCCCTAACAAGGAATGACACTATTTTATTACCTTACCATTTCACTAGCAAGCAATGCCTGCAGAATATTTTTTATTGCTGGCCACATGCAGCCCGTGGGCAGCATGCTTGATATGCCTACTGAAGCATGTATCACTAACAAGTGCTGCTGTTATGTTGACAGAGAAGCGGTCCTTTTGGCTAGGATACGTCTGTCGCCAGTAGATCCCATCCTGGAAGACTTGTACACTGAGTGGGGACAGAACCTCATGAGGGACGGACAGTATGAACTTGCTGCCAAATGGTCAGTATTCGTCTTTCTGTTATCCTTTGTTTTAGATCAGTGCTTCCCAGTGTCCTGAAACCTGAAGACACATCTTATTTTCAAAGATGTTTCAATTCCAATTGATTATTTGTATTATTGCCTTTCCTTCCAGAATGGGAGCAGAGGCGGATCACAGATGTAAAAAAGCAAATCAAATCATAGGACAGATGTGACCAGTTTTGCGCAACAAACATGTAACAATTGACACACACAAAAGCACTTTTAGACAGTTTTTTTTTTATAACTAACACTCCCAGTGCCAAACATGGACATTAACAGCAAAAGAAAATTCAGAACAACAGAAATGAAATATCTGTGACGAATCCTAAATGTAACTAGAAGAGAAAAGATAAAAAACGACGCTGTCGGGAAAGAAGGTTGTATGGAAGCTATACTAAACTGCATCAAAAGACAACAGATCAAACAGCGTGCCATGAACCCAATCGGTTTTTTAAAGTCATACTGAAGATATTTCATTTATAAGTATTAGCATTGCAATAAGAGATTGCATTCTAAAGTTGAGGTTTTGGTAAATGTTATCATGGATCCTTTAAATTAGTTCCATTTTACTCCTTGTGGGTCTGGGGCCGGGCCCAACTGTGGGGGAGAACAAGAATAAACCTATTGTTTCCTCAACAACTCGATTCAGTTTCTTTATCATATTTGGGGGGGGGGGGAGGGGCTGCGTGGTTTCAAAGCGTAGCATCTGCCTCAGGTGCTAGAGGTCCCGGGTTCAAGCCCCTGTCAAGGCTGGGCTTCTAGTAATTTTCTCTGGTCTCTGGGTAGTGAGATAGGGTGCCCGTGTGTATTGTTGCGCACGTAAAAAATCCGTTGGCAGTTGAAAAATTTGGAGTTTGAAATCTATCCAAAGTATTTCAGGATCCTGGCTGATGCTACAGAGTTCTTTCACTGCGCTGAGATTTTTTCAGCGCTGGCTTGAGTCAGAAGTAGAACGGAGCACTTATGGGTTACCCCTTGTGCCTTGATGTTGATCCGTCGTCTAAACCAACCAGACCATCATCTTAAGCAGTGACAGTCTAAGTTTCATTTGCCTTATTAGGATGCAGCTTTTATCTGTGTCAAGGAGGACTGCCTCATTTGTTTTTCTATGTTCTTCATTCTGTTTTCTTTCAAAAACCACATTTTTGAATATGTTTGCTAATTGTTCATGTCTCACATGCAGATAATAACACAGGCTGTCAGTAGCACTGTATCACTCTATTTCTTGTTGCAGTTGACATCCTTTGTCCATAATGGTTCTTGGGCCTATTGGGGGGGGGGGGGGGGGGGTGGATAGAACCAGTGCTTCCCTATCAAGCATGTCTTAAAAGGTAAATTAATGGTTTGCTGAAGTCAAACATGTTGCTCAAAAAGGCACAGATATCGCAGCATTGCTGTAAACCACAACACAGCATGTCAGCGACACTTTTGAGAAATATTTTTATTAGTGAGCATCATCTGCATATTGCCATTGCCACTACATATTGTTATTGTCGTCATGGTTAAACAGCTATCTGGCAATGCGGCACATACAAGAGGCAGAAAAAGCCCTGGCCAAAAGACACGACCAATCCTCTTTGAAAACCACTTGTCACATGACACTGTTGGTCAGCGACAGGCAGCAGAGCCTGGTCTATGCCTACAAACTGTTCAGCCAATACCTAATGATGGGCCAGTGGCAGGAGGCTTTGAACTTCTCACAGGAAAATGAGACTTTTAAGGTAAGAAAATATTTAGTGTGTGAGGGAAACAAAATTGAATCTTAGTTGGTGAGAAAATGTTTTTTTTTGGGGGGGGGGGGGGGGCGCTTTAAAAGGGAAGAAAATATTTCATCATGTGAGAGGAGGGTGGATCTTTCCGGGGGGGGGGGGGGGGGGGGGGGGGGGGGGGTTATAAATCTTGCATAGTGTAAAGACATTTGTTAAGCCATCATGGTGGGAAAAAATGTGTGCATCTTTCATGGTGAGTAAATTTGTAGATTTACTGGGTGAAAAATTGTATGAATTTATCATGTTGAGGAAAAGATACTTAAATCAACTTGTCACAGATATAAGCCACTATCATTATAGATTTGATGTTGTTGTTATGTATGCATATATGTGGGCACCCCCATGCTTTATTATTTCTACATTTAACGTCTTTAATATGACACATCTTCCTTCTGATGTTATCGGGGTATCCTAGTATTAAAACATATCAAATTGCTTGAGGTTTGTCACATTTACTTTGATGTTGCAATTTGGATGGTCAGTTTTTCTTTGTAATTACCATTACTTCTGCTTTTTTTTCTGCTGTTCAAAGACCTTAGTGTTCACTTTTCGTTACAATTATATGCACCAATTCTCGCAGTTGTGTTTCATTTTCAGCACACTTCAGCATATCGCAGGTTGTTAACAATCTTCCCACCAACGGATATTCCTGGGTCTAATTATTATTTCACTGTACAAATCAAATAAATCGGATGATAGTATACATACCTGTCTAATGCCTTGTTTATTTTTTTTTGTTTAAAAGTTCCAACTTGATTGTCAGTCATATAAATACAGTCAAAATTTTGATTGTAAAAAATGTCCACGATACCATATGATAAATTCTCTCTTTTTAGTGCATTTGGGTATTGTATGCAAGATGTTGAGTAATAAAAGCTTCTGTTATAAAAAGTATTTTTAAAATGTTTTTTCAAATTTCAGATTCTGCAACCCATTCTGCTGACACATGAATTGCTGATTCAACATCTGACTGCACTGTGCCCTTCCACGAACTTCACCCAGAAGCCGGTGAGCCCAGAGATGTGTTCTAACTGGGGGAAGAAGGATATCTGCGGCAGTAAAACCCAACTCCCAGGTACAGATTGTAATATTTGTGTGTTGTGTTTGTTGGGATGCAGAGTTGCAGAACCACACACACCAGGGCCAGAGATATTACAAGTCAAGACCTACCTACACCTCTCTGGTGTCATTCTAGAAACAGTTTCTCAACCAGGAGCCTGGCCAGTATAGACAGGATCAGCACTTCCTTCAAAGTTGGAGCGCATTTATCTGAGGAGCTAGGAACCAATATTCTGCACCCAAATCTGTGATGTCTTCAAAATGGAATTGCACATAAAACTCTGATCCTGGAACAAGACCAAAGACCAGAAGTGGACAAACATTGAGGACTTTCTGCTGCAGTTTACAGCCGGTGAACGCGAAGAAGAAGAAGTGTTTGTTGTTTTATGTGTTTCTCTCTTTGCTTTCCTTAGGATATAAGTGTGTAGGGCAATCTCCAAGGAAAAAGTGGCCAAGCCTTTTGCCTCCTACCCTAAAAGTCATGGATTTATTTCATGCATATTTCGGTTGACAAGTGCAACGTTTACAGAGATCCCTGGGGATTGTCACCAGAGCTATGGAGTTCATGCTTTATGTGATGCTCTTGGTAGGGGCCTAGCTGTTCATTTGAGAGAGGCAGAGCCATATGGAATGAAACCTGGTGCAATGAAGTCAATCCTCATGCTTTAACTTTCATTATGATAAATGTACTGTTTTGGATCCTTTTTATGCTGTTGATATCTCCATAATTTTGTATACTAAATGACACTTGGTGAATGATGAAGACAGGCATCAGTAGTTTTTACTTCTGAGGACATTTCTCAGTACCTAGTTTAGATTTGGTTGAGACATCATCATTCAGCAGGTCCTTTACTGCATGTCACTCTCATCACGGCACGCCTGAAAGTATCTTTTTCTAGCCAATTCTCCAGCCCTGTGTGCTTTTATAGCCAGTGCCACCTCTGTGTCCTATATCCACATTCATGGAGGTCTGCCTCTGCTTCGTTTTCTGGAAACTGTACATCCAACACCATTCTCACCAGTTTAACCATTCTCGTGTTTAACATGGCCCAGAAACCTCAGCTTCTGGGGCAGGATGCTGTTTGCGAGCCAGTTCTGGGTCGACTAGGCCATTTATAAAAATTAACCTTGATGGGGTTTTTAACCCAAAACCTTTGAATGTCTGGCCACACATTGTTGCAGCTCTCATTAAATTCTTTATTATTTTTAATTCTGCAGCAACTCCTTATTTTCACTCAGAATTATCAATAACATTTAATTATAATTTTTTTTCTTTTCTGTATGCTTGTACACTATTTAATAGTTAACGTTAATATCAGTAGCTGTCCCCTATGTTCATGAACAATTACAGAATTCTTTCATGGAACTGTACGTTTCTCAGTTTCAGCAACACAATGTTTGGCTTTTGTGTGCACATGTTCTAGATTAGAAGCTGCACATACAGTAGATGGGACACTGTCACATACAGTAGATGGGACACTGTCACATACAGTAGATGGGACACTGTCACATACAGTAGATGGGACACTGTCACATACAGTAGATGGGACACTGTCACATCCAGTAGATGGGACACTGTCACATACAGTAGAAGGGACACTGTCACTTACAGTAGATGGGACACTGTCACACACAGTAGATGGGACACTGTCACATACAGTAGATGGGACACTGTCACATACAGTAGATGGGACACTGTCACAAACACAGTGCCAGATTACTCTGATTTGTTAATGTTTTTGTGCAAAATAAAACAAAAAGATGGATTTCATTTTTAAACAAATGTATTAAGCTTGAACTGTAGCAGTTTAGGCTATTACTAATTTATTGAAAAAATAAATATTTTCAGTATTTTATCATGTTTTTTTTTGTTTTTTTGTTTTATTTTACACAATTCAACGAATGAAACATTTTCTTAACACCCCCCCCCCCCCCCCCCTTTTCACCCGCCCAACCCTTTCCCCACACACTTTGCCATTTCAACTACAAGCTGTAATTGGTAGGCTGTAGTGTTTCACCTTCATAGCAATCACCAGAATCACAGATCATGTCTTTGTTCTTGACTCACCCCATTCATTTGACTAAGCCATCCCCTAAATTTATCTTTTTGCCTTCCCTTGGTTCTTTTTCATCAATCTTGCCAGTCATTACCAAATTTTATAGTCAGAAAAATACGCCAAATAAATTGTGCATCCTGTTAATTATGTCTTTTTTTTATCCCAAATTTACAAACCAGTTCTTTTCCTTGCTCTCTACTGCAGAATACCTCCTGGACAAGTCAGAAATGGATCCAGCAGTGCCATGGGAGCCATTTCTAATTGGGAAGCACACCTTCCCCCATCATGTTCTACAAGTCTGGCATCAGAGGTTGGACATCACCATGGTAACCCAGGAGCTGAAAGCCATGCATGCAGCAATTTCCCAGCTGGTGCCGAACCGGCAGTTAATGGTGGATCTGCCAGCAGTAAGTGGTTCTCCTGCTGACTTTGACAGCAAAGGCAGTTTGAAATAGGGAACTCTAAATTATCTGTTTCTTCTCCTCCTCCTACTCTTCCTCCTCCTCCTCTTCTTTTTCAGGATTCTGAGCTTCTTAGGTTCATTCCTGCAGATATCACATGCCTCCTTTCGTCTCTGTGATTGGCTTTTCCATTTCAGTTGGTAACTCTAATAGTTTGTAGGTCTGGCCGGATATGATCTTTCAACTGGCTTCTTGCTCTGCCTTGTGGATCTACTGCCATTCAACACCCTTGTGTTGACAAGTTTTACCATTGTCCCTGTATGCTCCATGCATTTCAGTGACAGTGATTAATGATTTAAATTGATTATATAAAATAAAATGTATGAATTAAATATAATTTTAAAACTATAAATTATATAGTTTCAGAACTGTCAGTTATATAGTTTCAGAACTGTCAGTTATATAGTTTCAGAACTGTCGGTTATATAGTTTCAAAACTAAATTATGTATTTTCAGTTCTAAAATTATTTCACTTTTAACAGTTATACGTGCAAGTTGGAGTACCACTAAATATTTAGGACGGAAGTTGAATACTTTTGACAGTAAATGCCTGAAGAAACTGATGAACATTTAATGGGATGAATTTTTTAAAAAGGCAATGGAATAAGAGAAATATTAAGACCTAGGCTGGTGTCAACAGTGCTAAGACAAAGAAAAGGATGGTATGTTATATTGACAGGATAAATTGATGGTAGACTACCAAAGTTTAATTTGGTGAGAGAATAGACAGTTTTATTGTGATGGAAAAAACTCAACAGCAGACTGCCAGAGTGGGGTTTCAGAAAGGAAAAAGGGGTAGGTGGGTTTATCATCTTAAGCATAAAGATTTAGGGCGTAGTGCTGCAGCTGAACTCTATCATCATCACCCTGTTCTGCATTGTATGTCTAGTCCCCCATTCTGTTCTGTCCTGTGCAGTCCTCTCCATATTGTGGATACAAATCCAGCACCTTTAGGCCTCTCTCAACAACATTACTCTTAGGGTTTTCCTTGGATGTCCTTATTTCCTTAGTCCATTTGATTCCCATTTCACTGCCTGTTTGTGGATTATTTTGTCTGTTTCTCCTCATGATGTGCCATCACCTTTTTAAATAGCCATAAAAAATTTTTTTAAAATAATAAATGTATTTTCCTCAGCTGTTTGTTCAAATCAGCGTGGATGTAACCCTCGGCTTCCTGGCCCTGCTGACCTCGGAAACATCCACAGCTATCGTCCACCTGGTGCAGGCACTGTCAACCCTTGATCAGGCCGGCCATGGGACAGCACTGCAGGCTTTGTGTCGTCTGATTCTGCCGCAAGGTACTGTATAACCATTATAATCATTATCTTCTTCTTCTTCCTCTTCTCCTCCTCCCTCTTCCTCCTATTAATTTCCCCCTCCTCCTTCCTCTTCTTCCTCCACCTTCTTCCACTTTCTCTTCTTTCACCTCCTCCTTCTTATTCTGCCTCATTCTACTAATGATCACATCCCTGATTTACACCAAGGCATAGAAGTGCTGAACCATATGAGCAGGGCTGTACTGGTCAAGACATATTGACACCTCTCCATGGCCATCTTAGAAACAGGCTTCTGGTCAACATATATGGGATTGACATTTCCTTTGAAATCAGAGCACATCTCCCTGAGAGGCAAAGAACCAACAGTCTGCACATAAGCCCGATCTGTAAAACAGATGCACATCAGGTCCTGCAACAAGACCAAAGTCAAGCAGAAATAGATGGACAGCCAGGACTTCCCGCCAGAGTTTACGTTTACAGTAGATGAAGAAGAAGAACATTTAAACAGCTGAGTTCTTGTAATAAAATGGAGAGTTTAGGATTTCCTCTTTAGTTCCATACCTTTGAATAGAGTGTTGACTTAGTAGGCTAGCATTCTCTTTTTAAAGGAATATGCAGTGGACAGTCTGATAAGACATTTTTTTGCAGTTTGTATGCACAGCCAACATGGGCATAGTGCTAAACTACACAGTTGAAGTCTGTGCATAGTGCTAAACTACACAGCTGAAGTCTGTGCATAGTGCTAAACTACACAGTTGAAGTCTGTGCATAGTGCTAAACTACACAGTTGAAGTCTGTGCATAGTACTAAACTACACAGTTGAAGTCTGTGCATAGTGCTAAACTACACAGTGAAGTCTGCATAGTACTAAACTACACAGTTGAAGTCTGTGCATAGTACTAAACTACACAGTGAAGTCTGTGCATAGTGCTAAACTACACAGTTGAAGTCTGTGCATAGTACTAAACTACACAGTTGAAGTCTGTGCATAGTACTAAACTACACAGTGAAGTCTGTGCATAGCACTAAACTACACAGTTACAGTTTGTGCATAGTGCTAAACTACACAGTGAAGTCTGTGCATAGTGCTAAACTACACAGTGAAGTCTGTGCATAGTGCTAAACTACACAGTGAAGTCTGTGCATAGTGCTAAACTACGCAGTGAAGTCTGTGCATAGTGCTAAACTACACAGTGAAGTCTGTGCATAGTGCTAAACTACACAGTTGAAGTTTGTGCAAAGTGCTAAACTACACAGTGAAGTCTGTGCATAGTGCTAAACTACGCAGTGATGTCTGTGCATAGTGCTAAACTACACAGTTGAAGTCTGTGCATAGTGCTAAACTACACAGTGAAGTCTGTGCATAGTGCTAAACTACACAGTTGAAGTCTGTGCATAGTACTATACTACACAGTGAAGTCTGTGCATAGTGCTAAACTACACAGTGAAGTCTGTGCATAGTGCTAAACTACACAGTTGAAGTTTGTGCATAGTGCTAAACTACACAGTGAAGTCTGTGCATAGTGCTAAACTACACAGTTGAAGTTTGTGCATAGTGCTAAACTACACAGTGAAGTCTGTGCATAGTACTAAACTACACAGTGAAGTCTGTGCATAGTGCTAAACTACGCAGTGAAGTCCGTGCATAGTGCTAAACTACACAGTTGAAGTTTGTGCATAGTGCTAAACTACACAGTGAAGTCTGTGCATAGTGCTAAACTACGCAGTGAAGTCTGTGCATAGTGCTAAACTACACAGTTGAAGTCTGTGCATAGTGCTAAACTACACAGTGAAGTCTGTGCATAGTGCTAAACTACACAGTGAAGTCTGTGCATAGTGCTAAACTACACAGTTGAAGTCTGTGCATAGTGCTAAACTACACAGTTGAAGTCTGTGCATAGCACTAAACTACACAGTTACAGTTTGTGCATAGTGCTAAACTACACAGTGAAGTCTGTGCATAGTGCTAAACTACACAGTTGAAGTCTGTGCATAGTGCTAAACTACACAGTTGAAGTCTGTGCGTAGTGCTAAACTACACAGTTGAAGTCTGTGCATAGTGCTAAACTACACAGTTACAGTTTGTGCATAGTGCTAAACTACACAGTTGAAGTTTGTGCATAGCACTAAACTACACAGTTGAAGTCTGTGCATAGTGCTAAACTACACAGTTGAAGTCTGTGCATAGCACTAAACTACACAGTTACAGTTTGTGCATAGTGCTAAACTACACAGTTGAAGTCTGTGCATTGCACTAAACTACACAGTTACAGTTTGTGCATAGTGCTAAACTACACAGTGAAGTCTGTGCATAGTGCTAAACTACACAGTTGAAGTCTGTGCATAGTGCTAAACTACACAGTGAAGTCTGTGCATAGTACTAAACTACACAGTGAAGTCTGCATATATGCTAAGTAAGAACTTGAAAAGAGATCAGTCCAGTCTAGAAGTGGAACTGATCTGTCACAGTGACAAACGTTTGCATAGGACACAAGCAGACACTGGTACAGTTACAAACAAGAATACATAAAATTGCTTATCTGTACGCTGAGGTCTCTTAGAAAATATTTGTAACAGTTTAGAGGGTACTGGGCAGGAAGAAAGATGGGATTTACAGGTTACAGCAAGAGTCATAAGTAACTTTTCATTTTATTTTATAGATAGAACTGTGTTGGATTTTAATGTCCTTACGGAAGAAGGAGCCCATTAGGCAGATAAGGCAAGGGCATATGCTAAGGTATTGAATGATTTGCTTGCCTTCCACAGTGATTCAAAGATACTACCCAACCCCATACATACAGTAATAAGTTATGTAATCACTGTTTTAGTCATTATCCTCCTTGCCACACCATAAGTGTCATCATTGGCCCTTTATGCTATTATAGATCACATAGGGCTCACAGTCATTTCTACCATTCGTTTTAATAGCTTGGATGGAATCCAGTCCTTTGACCTGTCTCATCATCCTTAGGATTTCTTTGGATGTCCTCACCTCCTCAGTGCGTTTTTCCCCATTTTAGTGCCCATTTAGTGATTTTCTGATCACTTCTCCTGAGGATGTGCCCATTGTATTGCCAACTATTCCAGCACAGACTGTATCATTCTCTACGTCATTTAACTCTTTGAGTACCAGATAGGAGACGCCAAATCGCATAAATAACCACTTGAAAGCCACGAGTCTAATACTTTAAAAAAAGGGATGACAGATTTTTCAGCATGTTTAAACCAACCACAGAAAGTAAGAGAAAACATGTCATGCTTGGTGGGATTCACAGAAGAGCTAATCACATATGTTGCTTGGGACCAAAAGAGTCAACTAACCAGACCCTTGTCACATGGTGAGATTCACAGAAAAGCTAATCATACATCACATGTTGCTTGTGACTGAAAGAGTCAACTAACCAAGTAAAGAAAGGGACCCATGTCACACGGTGGGTGCACTGGGTGTATGGTGCTAGACCTATAGTTTTGTGGACCGTTTGACGCTTGATAGGTGACATGGTGAACATCGTTGCATCAGCCATTTTTACGTCCCCAGGTCATTTGTTAACACCTAGTTTATGCTGGATCAATCTAACAGGCCAGGCCCTTTATTTATCAGATTTGCCCAGATGCAGACTCAGGCCTAAGACCTTTAGACTGGCAGGCAAGTATCTAGGCCCTTATATCTGCCCATAGACTTAATCGTGATTTATTATTGTGTTGGCTTTCCATCCCCTTCTGTAATTTAATTCCTATGATAATTCTCTCTATTGTAACATTTTGTACTTTTCTTCTTGGGCAGGTCCAAAATATCTACTGAAGCTTCAGCAGGAGTTCAATGCCTCCCGTGTGTTGATCACCATGGACAGGCACGGAGATTTGGGCAAGGCTGGAGGGGACCAGCAGAACAACATCCGCAAGTACCTGACAGAGATAAAAGATGACAGTGCCATCTCTATGCCAGGTGTTCGCTGCAGGGAACTGGATAGTCTTCGAGCATACTACTATCTGGCAGTACTGGACTACCTAAGAGAAAATATTGGTGGACCTCAGAGCGAGAATGATAGCCTCGATGGAATGCCCAATAGAAAGTTAGCTACAGGTTCTCACAAAATGACAAATGGAGATAAGGATGAGAAGTCTGTGACATCTCAGTTGAATTGTGAGGCTTCCACGTTGGAATTGGTCGGTCAAGCTGAGGCTCAAAAGACGGACAGCGAACAGAACATAAATGATCTGGATCAGAATGGGAAGCTAAGCCATGGGTTAGCTCTAGGTCAGCAGTTGACCAATGGTGAAGCTGGTCAACCTCTTAGCACAGCCTGGGACAAAGGGCAGACATCCCAGGGTATTACAGATAGGTCACTAGCCGCTGACACTTGTGTTAAAAAACCTTTAATATCCCAGGGCCTTTCATCTGTTCCATTGACATCACCTACGAAGCCTGGACTTGTACAAACATCAGACTTGTCTCCGGAGTCTTCTTCTGTTGATCCTCCATGTGTGCCTTCAAGCCAGCCCTTATCATTGCAGCCTGCAGCAAATGACAGTAGCTTGACCTCTGCTAAACCATCTGTGACTTCACCAGTTAAAACTACTGTAGGATCTTCAGGATCTGCTGCAAAAGAGCCATCTGAAGCCTCAAAAGACAGCATGGCCAGGGGTGATTTTAATTATTTCACCCTGCTCAGACTCTCCAAGGGTATTCTGTGGGATGTTCAGGCCAAGAGAGAAGCCCTCACAGAAACTCTAGGCTACGTCCATCAGGCCATCTCCCAGCATCTTCTGTTCAACAGATCTTCAGGTGACCACCTGGGACTACCAGGCGACCACAGTCCTTTTGTGAACAACAACAGCGGCAGCAATAACCAACAGGCAGCCAGCACTGACCATGTAGAAGACGGAGGCTGCAGCCGGATACGGCTAATGTCCAACTCCTCTACACACGAATCAGGTCTGGCTTCGGATAGCTTTCAAAGACACACCTCTAGTGGGAACTCCACCAGACACACGTTGCCTTTATGTGCCTCCAGCAGCTC